CCTTAGGCTTGAGATGTAAAACACGCAAAGCGAGCGGTCTGGATATTGCATTTGGCACGCAAACTCCAAATATTCCCTGGTATGAGACTCCAGGGAGCGATCCCTCTGCTCCAGGCATAGCTGGGCAACATTAGGATTGTCCATTGTGACAGAGGAGTGGGAAAAAAAGGAAACAAAAATGCAGCAAAAAACTCACGCGTTGGTGATACAAACTGCACAAGCACGAAGGAGATCAACGAAAAGTATTTTAAAGGAGACATATTATGCCCCTTTTTACAATATGTAATATAAGTCTCTGGTGTCCCCAGAATGTGTCTGTGAAGTTTCAGCTCAAAATACTCCACAGATCATTTATTATATAATTTTGAAAATGCCTATTTTGAGTGGAAGCAGAAACATGCTGTTTTTCGTGCCTGTCTCTTTAAATGCAAATGAGCTGCTGCTCCCCGCCCCCTTTTCCAGAATAGAGCTGTGCCATTACAGCTCATACCTGCTAAAAAAACATCTGTTTTGGTTCTGATTATCATGTTTATCGCGCTGAAATCATGTTTTAAACCATATGAGTTTTAACTTATATACGGTTTTCTGAGAGCACACATCCAAAACACACATACAGAAAGCGGCCACCGCACAGCATGTGAGTACTAAACTAAGTTCTCTTTCACACATAAGTTTACATTAAAAACACACGAGATACAAAAACAGTCTGTTATGTCTATGAAGGTAAACAGCTGGGAAATAAATTGCATGTTTATTTTAGATCTGTGTGGCAGCAGCAATATACAGTAAATAAATCAATAAATCCACTGCTCTGTTGTCTCCTCTGAGGCTGGGACTGTAAATAGTGTTCTGTGCTCGTCTGTGCAGCCAAAGACAGAACAGTTAGCATGTTTTGCTCAAACTTTCGCCATGGCATTAGAGCTGGTACACCATTGTCGCTTGCAAAATGAGAATGACAGCACCGTGGGTGGAAACTTACAGTTTAAGGGGTGGTAAAATTATAATGAGATTCCTTTGCCACGTCACCAAGGGAGCGAAATCAGACGCGCTCGTTTTTTCAGACACTTGCAGAAAAAGGCTTACCAAAACAAAGTTACTGGGTTAATCTTTTTCACGTTTCCTTGGTTGGTAGATGCACGGGGGACCTGATTATAGCGCTTAAAACCTGGAAAAGTCAGATTTTCATGATATGTCACAATTAATAAGATAAATCCAGGAGAACAGGCACGGAAACCAACTTAACATTGACGAGAACGGACGAAGGCTAAGTTAGAACTGAGTGCTTATAAACATGAACCAAACAAAGGGAACTAATGGTATAATTAACAAGACACCAGGTGAACAGAATGACTAATTAAACAGACTGGGGCAAACTAGGTCACAGGGGCAACACAGAGACAGAAAACCACAGACATGTAACAATAGGCTAAGTTTAATCTAATATTAAATGGTGTAAATTGTTGACACAATATTGTCAATATCAACTGTTTTTACTCCAAAATAGTTCCAAACAGAGTCACAGCAAACATTTGCATCTCTGATCAACACAGTGGTGTTTTGTTCTTGAATTATTGAATGATGATGAATCAATGATCACCTGAGTCAATAATTCAATTAACCATTCATAAAGATTTTTCAGTTTTTCAATTCCTTTGTTCCTGAATGAATTAGCCATTTTGAACAAATCGGGTGAATGAATGAATTGATCAATCAATGACTCACTCAATACAGTTTTTCTCGTCTGCTAACACACAATTCATGAAACAATTCACCATTTTCTCACGACTATAAACACAATCTCAAAACTATACACCAACCTGTGCAAAAACTTCAAACTTCCAGGTCAAAATCAAATAGTTTAGTCAAAAACAGGTTCTCATTGGTCAGACTCAAACTTTGGCCTCAGATAATACACAAACCTGTCAAATACACAGACTAATTTCCTGCCTAGAGAACACTAGTGAGATCAATTCAAAACACTGTTACAAAAACCTCCTTTTGGGAAATAGGAATCCTTTTGCTAGTCAATGTATGTTACAGTATAAGACATACATATAGGGATGCAGATACAGTAAAATTCAGCATTAAATGGTAAGAAAAGTTTACTTTCATTACACTACTGTAAAGAGATCTTACAGTAGATGAAAAGCACTAGAAGAGAAAAGTTCAAAAACCAAACAACAGAATATACAATAAACACACATGGGAATATACTGTCAGTTACTGTAAATAAATAAATAAATTAATTCATTCAGCATCCTCTGCCAAATTGCTTTACAGTATTGGTAGTATCCTTATTTGTTATAGCAGTTTCTTAGTCTTCTGACAAAAGATTTATCTGCCTCCCCTAGACAGTCGTCTCTCAGTTCTGCAAAAATAGAGTACATGTAAGGACTACTTGGCTACAAATAAATTCAAAAGTAATGAGTTTGAGGGTGTACAACATGTGCTACAGTATTTACTGTACATAGAATAATGAAAGTTCTTTCATCTGAAGTACTGCTGCTATGTACTGTAATTATATTGTATGTGTATTTTGTAAGTAATATTGAAACCTTTTAGATGAGCCTGTAGGCCAACTTCCATCATGGTCAGTCCATGCAGAAGAACATGGTCAACTATAGTGCTTTGTATTTCATCAGGAACAAATTACCTTTGACCTCATCCCCTTCGTTTTTATTTTCCCCTCTTATTCCTCTTTGTCTCCCACTACCAGGATTAATTTTCCAAAAAACATAATCACCTGTGCTCTTGTTCATATCATCCTGAGATTCTGACCTGTGTCATCAGTTTTGCTACTTAATGTTCACACATGGATAAATGTGTGCTGTTTGAGTTCATTTTGTGATGCTTGAGTTAATTATATTGTGCGTTTGTGTTTTCTGAATGAGAACATGGATAAACGTGCAAAATGATAGTGTTTTTGTGTAGAGTTTTGCAGAAAACACTGAGCAAATTGGAACGTGTGTGCAAACAGGTGAAATGTGTTAAAGGTTTTGAGAAATGTGTCTTTGTTTCGAGAACTATATGAATGGTTTGGAAAATTGGGCCAAATTAATCAGTTATAGTGTGTTAGCAATCGAGAAAAACTGTAAGACAGTGACTTGTTGCCACCTACTGGTGGTTTTAGTTTCATACTTAAAGTATAATGTCATTTTTTTCCCAACATGTAAATAAGCCTTATAACATTATTTACACAGTTGTAAACACTCTGTGTAAATACATCTAAATGCCACTTGAGAAGCAGCTTCTGCAGTGCAAAAAAACAAATTTGTCTGATTAATTTGGTTTGGTAACAGCCCTGTGATGTCTTATTATTCTAATTGCATTTATTGAGAAAAAGAAAAGAAAGAAAAAAAGTAATAATTTAAATGAAATGGCACACAAAAAAGGTTAGAAAACTTGGCTTTATCAAGGTAAAAATCAATATTTTTTATGGTTAGTTGAATTTTATAATTTAGATTTAGGATTTTGACATGTTAGTATGCCACATTTAGCAGGCTATTTACATTTAACCCGCTCATGTCTAGTAACAACATTGCTTCTAGCCATGA